GAGGCAGGAGGACACCAGCTCAGCTTGGGGCCAGCATGAGCAATTTTGGGGCCTATCTGAAAGCACTGGGCATCATGGCGCACGCCTGCAGTTCCAGCTATTCAGGAGATTACAAGTGAAAGATCACAACATACTGGGATTCTAGTAAAAAAAAAAAATTTTTTTAAATAAACAACTACTATTTTAAAGAAAGGAAGGAGTTTATTAAGGTGTTCAGGAACTGCTTCTTGGCACTAAATAGATCACTTCAGCAAAGAAGGTTCAGGAGTAAGTTCCAGATGAAGATGATACACATATGACTCACCTTCAAGGACAGAGACAAAAATATGCATGTCCTTCCAGATTCTTAGAATGCTGGACTCTGACTGCAACCACATATGCGCAGAGCCCTACTGATCCTTATCACTGGTCATCAGAAATCAGTGACTGTGGGATTTGTTCCATTGTTTGACTTTATTGTTCTGAAACAATATTGTTCACCAAAAGGGAAAATTCTGTAGACAGAAATCATTGTCATTCAATGAACTCTCAGTGGTCATTACTGTAACTCAGGAGAAGTGACATCTCTTACTATCTACACGGACACCTGTCTAAACTCACCTTTTTGTTTATTTTTTCAGGGAAAACTGTGGGATTTGTTCCATTGTTTGACTTTATTGTTCTGAAACAATATTGTTCACCAAAAGGGAAAATTCTGTAGACAGAAATCATTGTCATTCAATGAACTCTCAGTGGTCATTACTGTAACTCAGGAGAAGTGACATCTCTTACTATCTACACGGACACCTGTCTAAACTCACCTTTTTGTTTATTTTTTCAGGGAAAGATCATGCCATAATATACACCGTGTCCCAGCCAGCCAGGATCATGGACATGTGTCAGTGTGCTCAGGGTGCACAGGAAGACACGAACCGGGGACATGAACCTGGGACCTTCCCATGTGGCCTTAGCATTACAGAGTGCTGCATTACTGCTGTGCCACCATGGCTGGCTATAAACTCACCTCTTCCAAAGAATCTCTATGAGATAATATTACACATGGTGGCAAGTCAAAGCCTTATTGCATTTAAAATACGTAATCATCTGTATTGTTTCCAAGACTATGAGGCTTTAATATTTTTAGAGTTGAATCAAAAATATAAACACAGAAGAATATAAGATTTATACACTAATTTGATTCTTAGCTTCAAGACATTTAAAAAATAATCTGTCTATATTGTCCTCCATTTCATTGCCTTCCCTTTAAGTTCTGGTCTCCTCACTGAAGTCAGTGCGCTATCATCAATGATGACAATAGAAAGTCACATTATTTAAGAAAAGAGGTGACTACTTTAAAATCTAAGACTGCACAATGACCAAAAGTGCAGTCCTAACACTAGATAATAATAGTGTAACAGATGATTCCAGTACTGGTATAGTAACCAAATTGAACTAAATTCCGAATGGTTTACAACCAACACCAGTATTTTCTGAAAGCAACAAAAGCTCAAGAATGTGAAAGGTACATCTGTATTCTTAACCTTCTAGGCAGGAAGTCCTTCTGGTCAGATTTTAAAATAAGTACATAATACTGTCAGCTAATTGCCACCTTTACACATCTACATCCACACTCTGAGCAACACCTAGTTGTGGCTAGTTATTACTACAAAAGCACCAACTGCACAAATAGTAAAATAAGAACACATGGAAGCTACCGCTAAATTAAGATTTTCTCTGTGCCCAGAGGCAGAGGCAGAAACAGGTATCAAATGTAAATTGATTTGAGTAAGAATGATACATAATAAAATACTTTGTATGAAAGTATACACAGTCAATAAGTATTGCAAAGTATTACATTTTAATTTTTCTTAGCTATAGAATCTCATTTCTTCCTGGAGAAAGAGAACCACTCTCCTCCACTGGGCTACTTGTAGCTATTCTGCAGGTGGAAGGGCTCTGCAGGAAATCCCTTTAGAACAAGAATACATTGCAATGGGGAGCTCTGGAAGGCCAGGAGACAACAGCAGAGCGGCCTCCCACGATGGGCAGAAGGAGATAATCATTTAGGGACCCTAACACTATCTATTTCCATATCATTTCTTATCTATGTCAGTTACCTGCAGTGATTAGGCACAGTACATCAGAAACAAGTTTTTGGTGTCAAACTGGACAGGATCCAACACACCTGAAACCTTGAACAGGACGTCCGCCTGCTTTGTTCCTTTCTTAATACCAACATGGAGCAGCATCTGACAGGGCCAGCAGGAACGAAGGGATGGCATTCAAGTGTGAAGACAGTTCTACCATCAGATAATGGTTTCAACAACCCTGTTCCAGAGTCATGTCTAATTTTCTGTCCAGATTACCTGCCATTTGTAATTTGAGGGCCAGACCTCCTAAAGAATCTAAATTAATGTTTGGAAACCTCTTTTTGTTATCTGCCTATCTTTACACTCCACGTTTGTGGCCTCCTCAAGTTTTCATCCTGTCTTAATGTGATATTTCAATGAGCAAGGGTATCTTCTTCAATGATCCCTTAGGGAAATTTGGGTCAGGAAGTGGAAAATGTTTGGAATCAGAACAAGGGTTTAATTTAATAAATTATTACTTTCTCTCTGTGAGCTCAACTCTTGTCATTAAGATTTTCCAGATTAAAACTAGACTTTTTAAAAGACCCAAGATTCTTACTTTCACCAAAACTCTGGGGCAGCATTTCTCAACCTTTTTTTTTTCAATATCAACAATATCCCTCCTTAAAGAGCCTTTTTAGATATTTTTATTTAATCACCCTCATCCCTATGAAATGTTAATACCACACATACTCTGTATATCTGCATATATATACTGGGCCTTTTGAGAAACAAAAACTATTGTGGTATCCAAGATCTTTTCACCTCCTAATATTGACATTGAGGAAAGTATTAAGAAATCTGAACTAATCAAAATATCTGTGTGTGTGAGAGAGAGAGAAAGAGAGAGAGAGTGTGTGTGTGTGTGTGTGTGTGTGTGTGCATGGACAGTAACTGCAAAATAACTTTAGCTAAAATATGGTGAAATAAGAAATCAAAGGCAATTTTGAAAAATTTGATAAAACAAAGCATGTCCTACATAGACTAGGTAGGTGTACAGAGTTTTAACAATGAAAATTAAAGTGAGATTATTCCTCTCAAAAACAAAAACAAATTTCTGAGCTGAATGACTTAGTTTTAGTCCAAATCTTGGGTTAATAGGCAATGGTTACATACTTTCCATTTTCTGTCCTTGACTTCTTGTAACTGATACTTGGGAGGCTAAGGATTACAAAATTGTGGTATGAAGTCATGCAGATCATAAATGTATTCTCTTCCATGCAACTAAAAGGGACTATAAAGCGAAAACAGTAGCAATTCAAAAATATCAGCGAGGAGAAGATCTGTGCCTGGTGGAAACAGTAAAAAGTGAAAAAACTGAAAAGTTTGGTCTTGAGTCTGAATCTTTCTCTTATTAAGAAAATTCTCTGCTTTAACTAAAATGGAGGGCTTCAAAAATGTACCACTAGTATATTTTAGTAAAAACTCTGCCATCAAGTAAGGTGGCTCGCAAGCTTCCCTGGCCACACACTTACACTACTTCAGGGGACTTGAGCATTCTGAAATCTACAGTCCATTTGTCACCAGAAAGTACAATAAAGGCCTTTTTTCTCTCTTTCAAAGTTCAGGATTCTTTCAGTGAAATCCAGGTGAAGGACATACCAAGAAAGAAAAAAGATAAGGGAGTAAAATGGTTAATCTAAATTTACCTAGGACGACAGTCCAACATTGCCAGCTCAGCAG